TCCGCGTTCAAGGACACACAAATTTCGGCTACCCTTCCGGTCAAAGCTGGTTGAGGTAAAGTAAACCACATATTTTCCGGAATGTTAAAATTTTCGGCTGTTATTTCAAACTTTGCAAAATATTGGTCAGCTTCCTTTTCCGCAAATTTTTAGATTACTTTTGCAAATTTAATTGCATCGCAACCCTGACCGGCAGGAGCCGTGAATCTATTTTCCATTTCTCCCAAATTGGCAGTATTTCTATTTCTTTTAATTTTATTTGTAGCTTTTTATGTGCATCTTGCTGCATTTGTTTTAGCTTCATTTGAAGCTCCATACTAGGATCGTTCGGCTGTGTGACTGAGGCCAGTTCGTCTTCAGAAAACATATACTCATCCACTAAGTAGACGATGATCATACTCGTACAGTCTTTTTCATTGCCGAATGAGCTACATTTATACCTAAATCTTTAGCAATGGAAATAGCTCTTTTCTGGAACATTTTCTAATGCCTCTTTTGATGTGTTTTCAACATCAAAATCCATTTTGACACAGGCAAAATATAAAAATATAACTATAAGTTTTCTAAAAGTTTAAGCTTATTACAATATTACTCAAAACAATTGCAACTAGCTCTGTTATTGGTATCGTAAAATGGTATCATGAACGCAATATTGTCTGAGTAAATTAACGTAAACAGTGGGTCAAAATCCACAGACAACCAGTCAATTTATTATTCGTTTAATAAAAAGATATGGATTCAAATATCCAAGGATAATCTCACAATTTGTTAAATTTGGGATTGGTAAGAAATAAAAAAATGTTGATTCAGGTATATCACGTAAGAGCAACCCAATTTTTGTTAAAATTGGGGAATTGAGAGAAATAAATGTGGACTATAGGGTTGGGCGAAGGGCTAGCAACCCTTCCCTGTAAAAAAAAGCTCTGCTACAAAATACGAACAAAGATTTCAAAAGGAAACTCGGACCTTGGAAAGGATGGGTCTCCGAACAGATAATTAATGAAGCTGGGTGGTCAAAGCCAACTGGAAACCAACCGACGGTCAACCATCCTCTCCACCAGGACCACCACCAGTATAAGAACATGGAACGTAAGGACTATGTTCAAAACTGGAAAAAAGAGTGGGCACAACTGGGGACTATGGGAGACACTTGCCCAAGACCGGGATGCCTGGAGAGCCTTTGTTCGTGGCCTATGCCCCAGACGGGACGACAGGCGATGATGATGATGATGCTAGTTTTCGAGGACGAGCAACCCAATTTGTTACGCACTGCCTTCTATTGTGAGAAATTAATATCTTATTTTAAGTTATTGGCTCATTCTGAACAAAGAATGATACCATTTGTTTGACAAATCCAATAGCGAAAATACGACACTCAAAGCAGTACGAATTACAATAAATAAGATTTATTTAAGTATTAATATAATTACAAAACAAGAGAAATATAATTACAATCAACTTACTGAGTACCGGAAGTCTTGTACCGGTGCACAGCAATTGATAAGGTACAATGTTGAATAGGAATTAACACATATGAGTACACAAAATAATACACTTGTCTTGTGAAGTGAAAAATATCTATCAATCAATCTCCTGATTTTCAATTCCCCGGCTTTATATATTTGTGTCGCCTGTTTCTAAGAAAATTTGGGGCAAAATATATATAGTTGTCGTGACTCGGATCTTCCATAAATTTCTATACTTTACGACAATTTTGTACCCGATTCTGTGGTAAAAAAAGCTCAAAAGAAATAGGCCACGCCCAATACGAACGCAGTCTAATTTTTGGGTCAAACAGAGTTCACGGCACGGGGAAAGTGTGACGTAAACACGTCCTACATAAAAGTCAGCAAAAGACGACGTGGCGCACTGACTGTGTGTAAACAATGAATGAACACAAATCGCGTTTGTTAACATCGTTGTTGAGACCATTGTGCACGCGCAAGTCTTGGAGGTAGATCGTCTCATTTCAGTACCGAATTTTCCGGCGTATAAGACGACTGGGCGTACAAGACGACCCCTTAATTTTCCAGGAAAAATATTGGTTTTGGGATATACTCGCAATATAAGACTACCCCTTTCGAGACAACACCTTTTTAAAAAAAATCGGAACAAAAAAAAAAAAGATTTGATTTAAACATGATAATTTTAATGAAAACAGTTGAATTTCTGATACTTAATATCACCAAAACACATCAAACATCATCCGCCAGCAGGGATATTGGCCGAGCACCGCACACAGTGTTCCCTTACTACATTGCCGCGCATTTGGCGGTGGTGGCTTCGGCGGCCTCTTGACTCACCGGGATTCACCTCTATACCCGCTACCGACCACCCGGCGGGCCTGGCACCGATCTGGCTACCTCTATACCCGCTACCGACCACCCGGCGGGCCTGGCACCGATCTGGCTACCTCTTGTACAAGGTATGGAGCACTCGGCGGGCATCAAAACTATATTTCGGCCATTGCAACCGGCGTATAAGACGACACCCAAGTTTTGGCACTATAATTTGGGTCTACAAAGTCGTCTTATACGCCGGATAATACGGTAATAGTCTAAGGGAAAAAACTCTAGAAATAGTTCGGTGGTATAAAATCAATAACTCCCCTTACATCCAATGTACGCGTGTATTTCGAACAGTGCTTGTAAGTCTAGGTCGACTACATGTACACATTTAACAAGATTAGGGATTATGAGACTAGGCCAAATACAGAAAGAATTTAACTAGATCAGTAATTGTAAGACTAGTCGACTGCAGCTATACATATTACTAGATTAGTAAAATTTTGCATCTGAGAAAATATTAATTGAAAAAAAAAAATCATTTTGTAAATTAAAATTGATTCAATAACTTGTATGCATCTTAGTATTAAAAAAAAAGCTTAGATTTTAAAAAAAGTTGTTAAAAGTCTCATGCTGTGATAACGGAACAGACAATAAGTTACAGACATCTAACACCGATAAAATTAGTTGTTAAATAAAAGGATAACAATAATAAAGCATGTCTATGATGACGACATATGACCACATTCTGCGTGTGTAGTGTAACTCTCTAACCCAAAACATCTTGTTTTCATGTCACCCTGTATAGACTCAAATATCAGTACGCGAGGTATATGGACAGCTTCATTAGAGATTACCCCCACCTTTCACCACACACACACAAACATCCCACCCCATCACACTCAAACGCACACAAACACTCCATCCCCCACCCACACACACAGAGTCGAGATCATTAACTCTTTTCCATTATTATGATCGCTTTAACTAACAGAGCAACGAAATGATTTATTTCTTTTGTGTTGTCACTTCTGGGTTCATTGTAAATTAGTGTCATATCCTAGAGAAGGCTGGACATGCATTTCATCGATAAACTCGTGTGATGTGATTGAAAAAAAAGGTAATAAGGGTGAGAGACTGCAATCAGGTTACGTAGAGGGAAATAAGCGAAACAAAGTATAGGAAAACCTGAAAAAGGGACGTAACAAAAAGACGAACGTGTCGACAAGAAGTCCTCGTCACCGAACAAACAGTAATAACAATATAAAATATAAAATACACTGATATCTTTAAGAAGGATTGCCGCAACTTTCACAAGCAACTTACCAGCAGATACTAGTTTAATTACTACGCCACCGTTCGCCCCCCCCCCCCTTTTGACGTTGTCATCGGACACTATGCTATGTGACAAGTTTCAGCTCGATAGGTGGACTGGAAGTTGGTCAATTCGCCATACGAAGATTTTGCCACACACCCATCCAGAAAGAAATATGCCAACAAAAGCAAAGTTAATATAAGGGATTTAAAAATATGACATCAATATCTGCGATGTAATTATTTTATTTTGAAGTCATTTTCTAAATGAAAATGAAGTAAATTATATGGTAAAATATGAATCTTTTATTGATTGAATACATCAAGTGTTTTATTATTAAATTGTGCATATTCATTGCTGGACATAGGTAAATACTCTAGCCAAGACAAACAATTTTAAACTTGAACAATTTAAACACAGGACATCTAAAGTATTTCTCAAGTTCACTAATCGGCCGGTCGTCATATTGCCACGGAACGTCTCTCCCTTAGTGATCATTTTTGACTTTGAGAGTAACTTTAAAGATTTTGCCTCAGTTTGTGGAGCACGCTGATCAATTCTGACCGATTGATAAACATAGGATTTTTTTTGTTAAACTTTGAGTTAAAGAATTCACCCTGATTCAACTGATATTACGTGACTGGGATGACTGGGTGGAATTTATCCTCCAGAATATATTTTTTTTTAGTTTTATAAATGCTTTTTAATGTAATAAACAATATATGTGGTTTTGAATGTTAACCATTTTCTTAAACGATAACGAATAACAATAACAATGAATGTAGTTGTTGTATTTTTAAAATCCAATTACTGTTTGTATGTTCTATGTCAAAACCAGTTACCAAATCAATATCTAATTATTTTCTGATTGTTGTTCTGTCCACAATAAATTAATAATAAACTATTGGTACGCATCCCATGTCTGAGCAAGATGGCTCCACGAAACATCCCAAAACATGGGCAGATGTTAGAGCAGCGGTTCTCAACCTGTGGGTCGCGACCCCTTTGGGGGTCGCGGGACCCTTTTCCAGGGGTCGCCTAAGACCATCTGAAAACATATATCCTTACAGCTATGAAGTAGCAATGAAAATAATTGTGTAGCTGGGGGGGGGGTCGCCATGACACGAGAAACTGTATTAAGGGGTCGAGGCACTAGAAAGGTTGAGAACCACTGTGTTAGAGAGTTTTTTGGAGGCCGGAATCTGGCAAAACTGGGATTTAAAAAAAAAATGGTGATAGCGACCAAGGTGCCAATAAATTATCATCCTCTTTTTTTTTTTTTTGTTGTCTAGACCAGGAAAAACCTTGATGGCGCACTTTTGTTTTCTCAATATATCCTCAACATGGGCAGGTGTTAGAGAATTTTTGGAGGCCCGAGTTGGAATCCTGTAATTTGATGACAATAACAATTATGAATGAACACAGAAAAAAATTTGAGCTAATTTGTTTGTGCATCCCAGAGACACATTGATGACATGCTTGTTTTTTCATTAAAGTGATTGAAGGGGGATCCTGCTTGAAATGGAGTACGACACCTCTATGCTATATCACAAGAGACAGGCAGGTCACTGTACAGTCTAACCTGACTTTGACCAAGGTACCTACAACAGTCAACTCTTCAACCATAGATTGCTACTGACGACTCGCTAAAACCCAAACGAGCTAAAACAAGATGGCATCTCCTTTCATAACTTCGTGCTTTGTTGTATTGGTCCTTCAGATCTCTGTAAGTAATAGATGTATTGACCAATAAGATCTCTGTAAGTAATAGATGTACTGGCCATTCAGATCTCTGTAAGTAATAGATGTATTGACCAATAAGATCTCTGTAAGTAATAGATACACTGGAAATTCAGATCTCTGTAAGTAATATATGTACTGACCATGCAGATCTCTGTAAGTAATAGATGTACTGGAAATTCAGAGTTCTGTAAGTCATATATGTACTGGTCATTAAAATCTCTGTAAGTAATATATGAACTGACCATTCAGATCTCTGTGAGTAATAGATGCAAATTGTTGTACACACCCTAGTTGTAACACAATAGATGCACTGTTTTACTGCCACTTGAGATGTACGCAGAAGATGTAATTTGTTGTACTTTCACTTCATATGTACACAATAGGTCATATTTGTTAACTGTTGTACAACAAGATTAATTCTATGCATCATTACTTGAACGAAATATTTAGGATCGCTAATTTCACCAGCAGGTTACCTTGTAGACATTCCTAATAAGAAAAAGTTTAGAACATTATTTCACCGCTTGGATTGATTTCAATGTTATTCTTCCATTCATTTGCTCAAATTTTCACATTTTGACGAAGTTCTAAATTGTTATAAAATGCTGTCCGACCTGTCAATTTATGAGAAACTGTGTTGGTGTTTTATGATTTCATTCAGCTTTTAGCGTTTTGGTTTCAAGTAAATTTGACGATAGAAAATTTAGATGAAAAACACAAGACGTTTGGCTTTTCCTTACAAGAATTAAAATTTAACATTTGAACAATTTTACTTGGCATTTTTTAATATTTTAAAATAAATGTTTTTTTACTGCGTGCTACCCACCGACTCACAAAAGGGACACTCTAAAATGAATAACTTGAAGTAACATATTTGCACCTGCGATTCATTACAGGGTCATCTTGGCCAGAACACTGACGGTGTCAAGGACAATGAGATTGGTGATATCATTGAGTGCATTGCTGACGTAATAGAAGAAAGCAAATCTAGTAAGTTATTAAATCTTTAGCATCTAAATATAAACTGGTAGGCTATAGAACTCAGATTCCAAATATATTATATAACCTAGTAAGTTTTTGAAATCACATTCCAAATATAATCTGATATGTTCTTGAACTGCTAGAATCCGCATACCTTACACAGAGATCAGAAGACAGATTTTAAGGCCTTAAGACGCAAAGCGGCTTCAGAATTTCAAATCATTATTAATAAAATTATGACAATTCTATATCAAATGTCTTTAATATATTTTGAAAGTTCGCACTTTGGTAATGTTTGGCCCAGGTGAGCACTACTTGAGTTTATGTATTCAAACAAAATCATGACTGTCTCCGAGTTGTAGTTGATCATTCTATACAGTATTCTGATTTATCTTTGTTTTTCCAGATTCAGGTATCCTTGCTGCTGACCTTGAGACCGGGTTGGCTAAGTGCAGCCAGTTGGTTGATGAATACCTGGACTCACAACATGCTAGCGGTAAGTTATCATTGACCTCGCACATTAAACTGACCAACCACAAAGAGCCATTTGTCTATGTGGAACAACAGAGTGCCATGAGACCCCTCTCCATTTCATTCACTCGGTCAGCAGAAAGCCGGTTAACACCAAACAGATGCAACGTCTTGTTCAAGTCAAAGTCTTCTTAAACACCATGTCGTCTTCTAGATCAAGTCTTTTTTAACACCACGTCCTCTTATAGATCAAGTCTTTTAAAAATCGCGTATTTGCATATAAGGGTGTATTCTTAACACAGTGTAATGTTAAACACATCCGTTTGTAAAGGTCATGTGTTTAACTGAGTCATATTGAAACATATAATATTAGGTAGAACGAATCTATTGTGTTTATTGATTGACTTGTGAATGTTTCAAATAATTATAAAACCATAGTCAAGTGAGCCTTGAATTTCTCAGTGGATCGATTGCTTTCATTGGTCTGTCTTTGGGTAATGTAACGAATCTGAGTCAATTAAAACAATTTTGTTACGGCAACATTCATATTTGGTAATATCTATAAATATAGATAGCTATTTAAGTCACTTTGCTATTAGTCCATTTCTATGACTAAGTGAAATTGGTATTAATTTCTTTAATTTAAAAATATTTTCAAGGTCTATGTGACATTGACAATAGTCAAATATCAAATGTGTGACAATGACATTTTGTGTCCTCTGAAACAATTATGTGACATTTTTCTTAAACGTTTGCATTGAGTACATCGACATTTACCGTTCATCATACATATTTATAAATTTGTTCATTTCAGTTCCCGGACAGAGCATCTACGACCTCATCTCCTCCATGAGTCCCAGCGATCACACTATTGTGGTATCTTCAGTCTTTGATAGTAAGTACATGCAGCTGTTCAGTAGAATAATTGATTCCAATGTTATTGAAACGCGATCCAGGCTCTATAAAGTGATGTCTGCGGATTCACAAAAGGGATTCATCTAATATTGTCGAGGAAAAGTATTTGATTTGTTGGACACGAATTGATCACTCATTGGAAGAGAAAACTAAACAACCCATAAAAACATAGTTGTTTGTGTATATCCTTTACAAACTGTAACATCGGGCAATGTGGGGGTGGGACTGAACATTTGACAAAACATTTATGTAACACACTTTATAAGAATCCCAGTTAGTGTCTTCCCCTAAAGACTTGAAGGCCGCATATTGTGTTCACACCCCTGAACTATATTAAGATTTTAATGCATGTCCCGCTTTGACACCGCAGATTTATTACAACTATTTCCGTAAAGAAAGAGAAAATATTACGCACCCAACTAGCGATATTTTTAAGAATAATATTTAGCGCAGTTGTCGGGAATTTACTTCGTGAAATCAGTGGCACCTGGTAGTGTTTTAAGTGTTGGAGGGTGGGCTGAAAATTAGATCAAATTTATTTTCAACGGCTACGTGTATGCATGAGTACCAAGTTTCAGCTCGATAGTTTGACGCGAAGTGGTTCATTTAGCCTTCCGAATGTTTTGCTGAAAACCCAGAAAGAAATAAAACAAAAATCAAAAGAAAAACTATGTAAATATCAAGGATTTACAAAAGAATGAATGCGTGGGGGCACAAGCCCCGGTGCCCCACTCATTGTCTTATTGGTTAAATGGCCCGCTTTCTCCAGTGTCACTAAGGGTATTCCTTTGTACAGCCATGGGCATATAATCTTCCAATCCCTACTGAAACACACAAGATGCCGGTGGTTTGACCTACAAGCACTAATACAAGACTGAATCCTTTTGGAAGTCTAACAGATTCAGAAATATCTATTGACCAGTTGCGCGGTTAAGCCTGGCAATAACTAAGATAATAGAAAAAGAAACATTTAAAACAAATGTCATATGACTTTGTCATGACTGCAATCTTTATGTTCTTTTCTATTTCAGATGACTTCGTTATTGTGGGCAACAAAATTGGAAACTTTTTAAACATGGTCAACTATCTTGGAAGACAGATTCTCAATAAGGAAGGTGATTCAATACTGATTTTAGAACTTCCCCAAATCGTTTAAATGGGGATGGGAAAGTTTTTTGATTTTTAAATTGTTTATGTTCAACCGTCGAAATTGACTAGGATCATCGAGTCATCTGGTTAGGGGAGGGTAGGTTGCGGTGATCACGTTGGTGGCTGTCTAGACCGATCCGTGCTCGGAATAATCTCTTGCACCACGTGCATGGTATAGTAGCTGCATACCGTGACATTATGTTGCTCTTTCGGACCAGCCTGCGTGTGTCAACATGTGGTTATCCTATTAGCTTCATGAGATTTAGCCCCATTATTTACAGCTGCTCTCCATCTGGCTTACTCCTGGGCTGTCTGCAACCATTGAGTAGGGTTGATATTGAAGGCCTTTAGTGATGCTCTCAGTGAGTCTTTGTTACACTTTTTTTACCCCCTTGAAACCGCTTGGCTATCGTGAGTTCTCCGAAGAATAATTGTTTCGGGAGCCGGTGGTCTTTCATACGGGCTACGTGTCCCGTCCAACGGATCTGAGACTGCATCAGGATGGTGAAAATACTAGCTAGGTTCGCTCTAGTGAGGACCTCTGTGTCAGGGACTTTGTCTTGCCACCTGATGCCAAGGAGTTTCCTGAGGCAAGTAGTGTAAAAATGATTCAGTTTCTTTGCGTGACGCTGGTAGACTGTCCACGTTTCACATCCATAGAGCAATGTCGAGAGGACTGCTGCGCTATAGACCTTGACCTTCGTATTCTTATCTGATACCTCTCTTGTCCCAAATAGTGCTGCGGAGCCTGCCAAATATGGCACTAGCTTTTGTTAGTCTGCCATTCATTTCATCATCCATGACGACAGATCTGGAAAGGGTGCTGCCCAAGTAAGTAAATTTGTCCACCGGGTTGAGACGCTGTCCACTGATTATGATGTTGGGTTCAACGTAGGGCTTACTGGGAGCTGGCTGATACATCACCTCAGTCTTCTTTGTGTTGATTGTGAGGCAAAAGCTATTGCAGGCCTCTGAGAAGATATCAACGCTGTGTTGCATGACGGCTTATGAGGGAGCGTCGAGGGACAATCGTCTGCAAACAGAAGCTCGTTGATCGTGGTATGTTTGACCTTGGTTTTAGCTTGAAGCCCCCTAAGGTTGAAGACTAATCCATCAGTACGAAACCAGATTGGCAAGCCCGTGGTGGAGTCTTTGAACGTATTAGACAGTATTGCAGAATATATAATACTGAAGAGTGTGGGAGCAAGGACACAGCCCTGCTTCATGCCGATTGTGACGGGGAATGCTTGAGATGATTGACCGTTGTCCTGCACACGGGTCATCATGCCATCATGCAGCTGACGGATGATGTTTGTGAACTTGTCTGGGCATCCGTACTTTTTCATGATTTTGCACAAGCCAGATATTTTGACCCTGTCAAATGCCTTATTTAAGTCAATAAATGTGGAATAGAGGCCTGTATTTAGATCCTGACATTTCTCTTGAAGCTGCCTAACGGCAAACACCATATCGATACTTTCGCGTTTTTTTGCGGAAATCGCATTGACTTTCGGGTAGGAGACCTAGCTCCAGATGTGCATTCAGGTGGTTGAGAATTGCTCGGGCCAAGATCTTGCCTCTAATGGACAGAAATGAAATTTCGCGATGATTGTTGCAGGCCTGGCGGTTTCCTTTGTGTTTGTACAGGTGGATAATCGAGGCATCCTTAAAGCATTGTGGTACAGTTTCCGTCTGCCAGATGATCTGCAATAGACGCAATAGCTTATTCGTCAGCGCTGGTCCACCCTCTTTGTAGATTTCGACAGGAATCATGTTGGCGCCAAGTATTTTCCCATTAGACATTTGGTGGATTGCTGTCTGTATCTCGATCAAAGTTGGGACAGCGTCCAGTGACTTGTTCGTTGGCAACTGGTGCAGTCTTTCAATGGCCTCATCATTAATGTTGGAAGGTATATTGAGCACACTATCAAAGTTTTCCACCCATCTTTCCAAGATTTTTTCCTTTTCTGTAATGAGTGTGGAACCGTCTGCACTAAGGAGAGGGCAAGAGTCTTGGGTGGCAACTCCACAGATTTCTCTCAGGCCACGGTAAAAGTTTTTCATGTCTTTCTTGTCTGCAAAGCCCTGAATTTCATCAGCTTTGCACTCAACCAGGAGTCTTGAATCTGGCGCGAATGAATATCGGCCTTGCTGCGGATGCTCCTCATTGCAGCTGTCTTTACTGTTAACATTGGGTCATCGTGGAGGGCCTTGTACCCCCGACGTCTTTGCTCAAGTAGCATTTGGAAGTGTGGTCTACGCTTTTTCAGCGTCCTGGTTGTCCAGTGTGATGGTATCAAGGTGTCCATCCAGGTTGTCAACAAAAGTTTGTCTCACATCAGGGATCTTCAGCCTACTGATGTTGAGGCGTTTCGGAGCTTTGGTGGGCTGTGGTTGTCTCTTAGGATGGATATGAATTTTCATCTTTGAGACGATGAGGCGGTGATCCGTTCAGCATTCTGCGCCACACATGGCCTTAGTCACCCTCACGTCCTGGCGGTCCCTGTGCCACACAAGGCCTTAGTCACTCTCACGTCCTGGCGGTCCCTGTGCCACACGAGGCCTTAGTCACCCTCACGTCCTGGCGGTCCCTGTGCCACACAAGGCCTTAGTCACTCTCACGTTTTGGCGGTCCCTATTTCTGACGATGACATAATCCATTAGGTGGCAGTGTTTTGAACCGGGATGCATCCAGGAGGTCCTGTTGCGCGTAGGAAGGCTGAAGGTGGTGTTCGTTATTAGAAGGCCATGTTCAGCACAGGTCTGAAGTAGCAGTAGGCCGTTGCTATTGTAATTTCCAACACCATACTTCACAATCACTCCCCCAGGCGTGTAGTCACTGCAAACACTTGCATTGATATCTCCAAGTATGATGAGTTTGTCAGCAGTCGATGTGGAAGAGGTTACAGTGTTTAGGCCCTATAAAACTTATATTTGGTCTCTTCTGTGTTTGTCATGGTGGGTGCATAGGCACTGACTAAAGTAGCATACTTCTTTCAATGGCAGAGGGGTAGTTTCAACGTCATGAGACGGTTATTGATACCTTTTGTAGAGATGGGGAGCCTTCTCACACGAGAGGTTTTGATAGCAATAGAAACACCAGCTTCTCGCCTTGCGTCAGGGTTTCGTCCACTCCTTTCCAGAGAGTTGGGTTTTACTGAAGGCGGTGATTTCTATATTGTATCTCACAAGTTCATGGGAAATGAGCTCCGTAAGTCGTTGAGGTCTGTTTGAAATGTCCCTGTCAAGCAGTGTGCGGATGTTCCATGTGGCAATTTTAAGTGAAACAGTGTTTATCCTTGATTTTCGAACGCAAAAATTGGAACTGTGTTCAGCCGGCCAGGGTGTGAGGGAGCAGGCATTGCTTTGGGCATCTATTCTAGCCCCTTCGTCATGCATTTAGGAGAGCCTGCCTGTCGCCACGAGACTTGGGATGATGGATAAAGTTGGATGACTGATGACTTGCGCGGTTGACTTTGTTTAAAGTGAGGAAGAGTTGCGCAGCGTCAACCTCACTCCCTCGTCCGGACCCACCATGTCCAGTGGCAAGACTATGTCAACACGACCTGAAATGGGTACGGATGCAGTGGATGACTAAGATGTTCTACGTGCCTCATCTTGCTCTACACACCTCACTGTGCGTTGCTGTAGTCGCCTTCACCTCCGTTGAACCTATATGGTCTCCTCCGCAGGATCCGCTGACGTCAAGGCTTTGCATGCAGTAGGTAGGCAGACCTAAATCTCCGAAGGTTTGATGCTCAGCAGCCACCCACGCCTGGTTTAGCAGGCCAATGGGAGCCGTTGCCCAGGGTTTGGCCGCTGTTACATGCCTTTAAGCTATAGTATTAACTAACCCTTTTTATACACACCTGGTTGCTCTTAAATGGGAGGTATGTGAAGTGATATAGAAATTTTAAAAAATTGACAATTCATGTTTAATTAACATTAACAAAAACTGGAAACCCGTGTAAAGCCACGAAAAGCATCGTGAAAACACGTAAAGTAATGACTGCCCACGTTTTCTAGTAGTCAAATTATAAATCATAAATGTCATTTTGATGGCACTTCTATATTTTGAGATATATTGCAATCTCCCTAGCGTTAATGATTTTGGACAGTGTATGATGAAACGGCTTGGATCCAAAAAATAAGGGTGATCAGCTACCAGCTGCTTTCTCCTTAGTTGGACATAATTCAGCTATCAGCTCCTTTATCCTTAGTTAGACATAGGACAGCTATCAGCTGCTTTCTCCTTAGTTAGAAAATAGTCAGCTATCAACTATTTTCTCCTTAGTCAGACAATAGTCATATATCAACCATTTTCTTCTCATATAGACAATAGACAGCTCTCAACTACTTTTTCCTTATATTCCTATTAGACAGCTATCAACTACTTCCTCCTTATTTAGACAACAGGCAGCTAGCAACTACTTCCTCCTTATATTGCTATTAGACAGCTAGCAACTACTTTCTCCTTATATTGACAACTATCCCGCAGTCCATCTAAATAAACATCTGATTTTAACTCACTCTTCACAGACCCCGAGATCAGGAATGTCCATCTGGCAACCTTGAAATTCATCATTGACTCGATTGTCCGCAGTGTTCAAACAGCTGGTGAGTTGGTCACTGTAACTTTTGGGGTTGGAGGCGATGATTGTTTTCTTAATGATGTTTAGAGATTGTTTGGTAAATGATGTTTAGAGATTGTTTGGTAAATGATGTTTAGAGATTGTTTGGTAAATGATGTTTAGAGATTGTTTGGTAAATGATGTTTAGAGATTGTTTGGTAAATGATGTTTAGAGATTGTTTTGTAAATGATGTTTAGAGATTGTTTGGTAAATGGTATGTAGTGATTGTTTGTAAATGATGGTGTGATTGTTTGTAAATGATGGGGTGGTTGTTTGTAATTGATGGTGTGATTGTTTGTAAATGATGTTGGCTTAGAGCAGTTGAAACCACTCCAGGGTGAAATGGTAAATTCAGAATTACGCACATCATAGGGTAACACACGTCAACAACAACAACAGCAACAAAAAAAAATAAAAAATAAAAAATAAAAAAATATATATATATAAATTATATATATATATTTGAAATTTTAGTTATTCAGAGTGTGATGCAGATATATATTACTCGTCTCTTCTGTAACAACCCCAATGTACATGGTTGGTTGATAAGAAGGTAAAAACACTGAAAGTTTTCAAACTGTTTTACTAATCTTTACGGGTTAATTTATTTATTTTTTAATATCGATTTGATACTTATGTGTTCATATAATTGATTGGTTAAAATGATTTCATTCAGAGAGACTCTATCCTTACTATTTGACACCAGTTGATGAGACTACCAACAGCACTAAACGAGCATGGGAGGTCAAAGGTAAAAGAACCTATAGAGGTCTTGTAAATGCCGATAGATGACCAATAGTTGTCATGTAGCTTCCATAAAGATAGATTGTAGAAGCGGTGTAGGAAAAGAAAGAGAGTTACAGTACCGTTGGTTGTTACGCCCTTTAGAATTTCTTGTAAATCTTTTCTCAAAGAAACTCTATTTTTTTTTTTAAATACGACAGGGTCAGAGCAAGATTTAACAAAAGCTGTCTTGTTTCAACCTTGACTTCACCTTCACCCAAGGCTCATCTTATGGCATATGTTTAGGGCATAAATTGCACACCTCCCCTTGTTCCCCCACCTTTTATTTTTTTTTTGTTGCTTTGCTTGATATTGATTCAGCCGATTAAATATGTTGTGCCATTCTTTACCCACTCCACCCTTGTTAGGGAAAAGGTTGTTTACGTTACGTTCAAAACCTTATATTTTTTGTAAGGAATGACATCGGTGACGCAATTTCTCAAATTCAATATATCACATGGCTATTATTTAATCTCACATATAAAGACCGTCAGCTTTCCTAGCCGAAACAAAGAATTTTTTTTAACATATGCGAGGCATTTCATAAGTGCACGATTGTACTCCTTACATGTGTGTGTAAGTTATTATTTGTATTTTCGAGCTTTGCTAATTTTCACTTGCTGTAAGTTGATATCGAATTTTGTTTCACTATATTTGTATTTTTATTGTTTTTTAATAGAATGATTTAAATGAATGTAGCTATTATCACTAGCTATGGTGTCTTTTTTATTGCATGCTGTTTTTGAGACCTATGCTACACATTGTTTATTCTACGAACCTAATCTTAAAGCAGATTCAATTTTCAAAACCTTATAACGGTACGATTCGTAACACTACACTTTTATTCTTTTATTTTCACTCGGTAAAATTTTTTCTTTAATAATTGTTTCATCTATCATCAGTTTCACCGCCAACTTCCATCAAGCAACAACACCACACATTACTTCTCACTATTCATTCATCGTTATAATTTCTTCTGTTCATCACAGGCAGCGTAAGCACTGGATCCTCTGGGACTAAGGGGACAATATCCGGGTCAAAATCATGGAGGGTAAGTATATTTGATTAGCAGCCGTTTCAGAATGCTTTTTTAAAATATACAGTCGTCTTCTGTCAATGGTCTATTTAATCTCATTTTTTCAACATCGTTTTAGTCATTCTTCTGATTTTAATTCGTATAAATTGTTCTTGGTGTAGCATTGAAACATTCGAACATTATAGCATTGGCCATGGCAAGTACTCTGAATAGTTATAGTGGGAATAAATTAAGATCATCTATAAAAGTGATGGTTTTATTTGTAAGTGTGCTTCCATTTAGCTACATGATTTTTATTCCCAAATCACAACTTAAAGTTGTACAAAGGTTTATCTTTCTAAATAGATATATGGACCCTGTCGTCTGCATATAGATCCTTTGTCGAACGAAAACGAGCATCTGGACAGGACAGGACACGTTGCAGGAATGCCGGACAGTCGACTTCCCAAACAGCTGATGTTGGGTGAACTCTCCAGAGGGAACCGCTCACCTGATGGCCAGAAATTAAAAATTTTAAAGTTACTGCCTAAAAGCTTCACTCAAAACCATGGATATTAACCTCGATTCGTGGGACACACTTGAATCGTACAAGTTGGCGTGGCAGACTCACTATCGGAGCACAATCCTCAGAGAATAAGCTCACCGCTCACGCCCAAAGGAAGTTCATGAAAGGGCTAAGCAGAGTCGACTCAAATCCAACTAGGATCCAAACCAACGTGTGTTACACGTGCGGGAAAGCTTTTCAAGCATAATTAGGACTGGCAAGCCACCTGCTGAATCACCTTTAAATATTATAGTTTTGCTATCTTGGCATAATGAGGAAGAACAACAGCATATATACATAAATCTATTTGTATACATCAAAATATATATATATATATTTAATTTAATGTAGGGATGGCACCAAGGATGCCTTTATACCACTGACGTAGATCTAGCCATCTTTAAAACACTGGGTTAGATCAAGCCAAACTTTAAGCCATTGACCTAGGTAAAGCCATCATTAAAACACTGACCTAGATCAAGCCAAATTTAAGCCACTGACCTAGATCAAGACAACACTTCTACATAATGCAAACTTAGTAGTTGTATATGTGATAATTGAGCTCGATGTAGCAAAATGATATTAGAAGATCCTTTTATCTGCAATGTTTGACTTAACGTTGGTTCTAAAGCAGTGTTTCTCAAATGTTGGTCCGTGGACCCACGACGGTCCCCGACCCTTACTTCACCGTTCCGCACAACACGAATATTTATGAACGAATGAAAAAAAAAGAATGAAAATGACAAAAATCTGCCAGCGGTCCCAGGATGAAATTTCAAAACGTGTCCACGGGTCAACCAAACTTAACGGTTTGGGAAACGCTGTTCTAAAGGACGTTAGACTTGTTGTTGTTGTTTTGCTTCATATTTATGATGATCCAGTCTTCGATTCCAGTGTGCATGGGAACATTGATATCCATTGGTGGGTATTTAGAATTAATACCGGAGTGGAAACACTAATATCCATTGGCGGGTATTTTGAATTAATACCGGAGTGGAAACACTGATATCCATTGGCGGGTATTTTGAATTAGCACCGATGACGTCATTAGGTGGTTCCTATCAGATAATAACCTAAATATTGAACCATAGTAACCTTTTTAAAACTTTTTTTTCACAGAGAAGGAGCATCATTGCGTCTTTGAATAGAGACAGGAGACGTAAGTAGAGTCATTTCATATTTTATACTCGGGGTATAAATCCGGTCAATAAGCTATCCTATTGTGGTCTTTCTTTCCATTATACCAGAACATGCCTTATTCTGATCATTAGGTAATTAAAAGAGGTATTTAACTATTATTTTAAAATGAAGCGCTTATTAACACATGAGATATTTAATAAATAGTTTTTGGAGTTTTGGAAATAGAATTCTAAGAATTCAGTTGAAGCTATAGATTTTTTAAACTTTAGAATTAGGGTAGTTGTGAATCTAAACGATATGATGGATTTATGGATTATTTATTACACTGTGCGTGGTGGATAGCACTAATTAGGTAAGCTTGTAAGGATATGTTAATTTAGTTTCTATGTAGAGGACAGTATGACGCCGTTTGGATGGACGGGGCCATTCAGTTTCTATGGAGTTCAGTGTATGAATTTGTTGAGATGGATAGTGCCATTCAGTTTAGATGGATGGTGGTATATGACGTTCATAAAGGGGTTAATGTAAAATGCACCGGAAATTAACTTATTTAAAAGAATTTCATTACGCATTGTGTCCTGTCGCTCTTATGTGTCATTGCTTCTTAGGTCATTAAAGCGCATTATAAAACTAGTCTTACATGCCCTTATTGAAACATAGGTCTTACAAGCCCATTTTTTATCATATAACTTACAAGTCCTTATTGAAACTTAGGTCTTACAAGCCTTTTTAAACTAGATCTTACAATCCCTTTCACCCTAAGTTTTCCAAGCCTTAATTGAAACCTAGGTCTTAAAAGCCATTATTGAAACCTAGGTCTCACAAGCCCTTATTGAAAACAAGGTCTTACAAGCCATTTAAATCTTGGTCTTACAAGCCTTTTAAACATAGGTCTTACAAGCCCTTTAAACCTAGATCTTGGAAGCTCTTTTACCAAAGTTCTGACAAGCCCCCATTTAAACCTAGGTCTTACAAGCCTTTATTTAAAACTCTGTCTTAAAAGCCAATTTAACTCCAGGTCTTACAAGCCATTTAACCTCAGGTCTTACAAAACTTAACCACTGGTCTTACAAGCCATTTAACAATAGGTCTTACAAGCCCTCTACTCCAAAGCCTCACACGCCCTTTAACCTAGACATTACAAGCCAACGTTATGATTTACATGTAATAACTTTAACGGATCATTTCATTGTTCTAGAATGGTCTGGAAGCATTGGCGGTGGATGGAGTTCCAGAGGTGGATGGGAGGGTGGTGCCTCACTTAGCTACAGATTTTGATGATACAGTGACGTCACATTCACCCCATCCACTACGAGGCTGTAAATTATTTCTTTTAGAAATGTTGTAGATACACTTTGTCAAAGAATAAACAGTTCAATGAGAGAAAAAACAAATGGCTGGTTCTTGTTTTATGTATTTAAGCTGAACTAATCAAATGGACTTTGTCTGTGATGTCCAGTAGAGATAGATGTGTTTACGTTGAAATAATCAAATTAATTTTTCCTGTGATGTCCACTAGAGATAGATGTGTTTAAGCTGCACTAATCAAATTGATTTTGTCTGTTATGTCCAAAAGAGATAGATTATGTAAGTTTTACCAAATGATGTCCAACAGATTCCGTAAGTTGTACCCAATGATATCCAATAAAAATAGATTCTGTAATGTGCAACTCATAATTTAAAATAATTTCTGTCCAATAGATTATGTAAGTTGAAACAAATGCTGTCTAAGTAAGCCATTTCAATAAATCATGTAAGTTGAATCTATTGACTACAGCTGAACGTATTTACAGCCTGAAGCGACTCGAAAATGCCCTGTCGGCTTTGTTATTAATTTCTATCGTTACCACTTGAGAGTATCTTCGCTACGCCAGCGGTAGTTAAGCTGGATAAAACAAGTTGTATTATTTAGCCTCAACATTTATTATAACAAATTTGCTGTAGTCTCAAAGATTTACCAGACGCACAGTGGGTGGGGTGGCCGGCATCAAGGTATTTTTAGAGCCAACTTATTTCTATAGAAAAACAAATGTTTGGGCTTCATGTCTGGTAGTGAAGAACCAATACTGCATATTGAAAAGCATCGTTCGTATGTTATCTTACTTCGTTACACCCCATTGGAAAAAAGTCATTTTAACTTCTGAAATAATCTCAACGGAATGATTAAAGATAAAAGTGTTTCCAGGTACGCCAACGTCAATCCAAAATACAAAGTATTTGCGAGTACGCTTCCGCTGAACAAACAAACAAATATGGCAGGTATGTATCCCTGGTACAAACAAAGAACTGGCGGGTGCGTCTACGTGGAATAAATAACAAAAATAAAGGCAGGTATGTCTCCGTGAAAAAACATACAAAGTATTGGCAGGCATGTCTCCGCAGAACAAAGCCATTTTCGTTTATGACGTCTATCTTTTAAAAAATAATTTTGATGGCATCGGGTGTAAATTTTGATTATGAAGTTTTCATTATGCCGGTGAAACGGGACACAAGTTTTCATTATCCCGGTGAAACGGGACAAAATTTCTCATTATCCCGGTGAAACGGGACAAAAGTTCTCATTATCCCGGTGAAACGGGACACAAGTTTTCATTATCCCGGTGAAACGGGACAAAAGTTCTCATTATCCCGGTGAAACGGGACAAAAGTTATCATTATCCCGGTGAAACGGGACACAAGTTTTCATTATCCCGGTGAAACGGGACAAAAGTTTTCATTATCCCGGTGAAACGGGACAAAAGTTTTCATTATCCCGGTGAAACGGGACAAAAGTTAAACTCATCCTGGGAAGCCCCAGGATAAAATCAGTGCCTGCTTTAGGTATTAGTGGCATAGAAGACAGTCTAAAGCAGCACTTAGGTATTAGTGACATTGACGGCCGTCTAAAGCAGGCTTAGGTATTAGTGACATATACTTCTGTCTAAAGCAGCACTTTTCAAGGGGCGACAGACAAATTACGGTGATCAAAAATATGGGGAGAAATTATACATTTTTTTTTTACAAATATTGGAAATGAAATAGTTATAAAAAGATTTTTATATGACGAGGCTTATTTATAGGTTGAAAGTTTAAAATACTCCAGAAAAGAAATTCTAGAAATTACATCCCTTGATGGCTTTTTTTCTTTTCGTTTACAAAAGAAAAGTAAGCAACCGTTTCCCAATCAAGGGCGGGGGTTAATAGTGTGATACACATTAAATCGTTGGCGTCAATATAAAAACAACAAAAAAGAAAAGGGCAGGCAAATGGAGGTTGAAGTAAAATTAGGTTAAGACAAGAGCTGTAACATAGGCAAGAGTAGGATATTACCACCCGAAGAACCAAAAACTTTATGTAGAATTTTTCTTAATTCTCAGGTCTCAGATTTTTAGTTTCGAATGCCTCACCAAAGTTACTAACTGATAAAAAAAGCTGTATGTTTGGAATTTAGAACAAAAAAAAAAAATTTAGAACTGTAATACGTGTATCATAATATGTATATGTCTTAATGTGTTGATTATGAAAGTAAAACAACTCTACGTAGAAACGTATTTTTGAAACACGATCAGCCAAGTATGATCAAGTTACTGTTGTAAGGATCGCAGTCTAGGGGGCATCATTGAAAAGGGGATGGTGAAAGGGTTTCTGTAATGGCTACACTACACTAAACGAAATGATTATTTTTAAATAGTTTTTTTTTTTTTTAATTATTGCCTTGAAATGTCGGCTACAATTTCCAACAAGGCATGAAATATATTACAAGTGAGTAAAACAAAGTAAGGTCAAACATGAAAAAAATGGAAAGCAATAAAACAACGAAAGTTTCGGGAGGAAGTCTTCGTCAGCGGACAAACTTAAAAATTGCACTTAGCTGAGAAGTAGCATGCGAAAGGCAAGCAAAAGAATTGTGACAGAGAATAAGTAGCTGAGAGATTAAATAGGGAAGAGGTAAAGAACAGAGGTGAGGTTAGTCCACTTTAGACAAGACAGAAGGCAAAACAATAGGCAAGACAGAGGGCAAACAGAAATCGAGATAGAATAGAAGACACAAGACAAGACAGAAGGCAAGACAAAAGGAAAGGTAGAAGACAAGACAGAAGACAAACCAGAATGCCAGACAGAACACAAGACAAGCAAAAGTCAAATAGACATAAATTTGTTAACGAGAGTCAACATTATAAAAAATTTTTAGACAAGGAGTAGCCTCTGAAATCATAAAAAGCACTGACAGAGGAAACTTTCGAATCCTACCCAAAGACCTATTCCCAAACCAACATTTTACAAAATTCCTACATTGAGACAGACTTAACTGCTAAGACAGCATACAAAAGTATGGACAAATTTTAAACAATGACAGTTGCAGCACAAAAAAACATGACATCCTACCCAGAGGATATAATCATACTATACACTAATGGATTTTTTTGTCTTTTCAATGTATATGCCAAAATGTCCTTTGTTTTTTTATAGCCATGTTTAATGTTTTAACGAGTGTTTTTATAGTCATTTTTAACTTTGTAGTTACTGTTCTAGTAAACTTTCTTGTTTTCATTTTTATTTTACTTTAGCAGTTTAAATAGTTTAACTAACCTTATCTAAACTTATCTAAACTCATCTAAAATTATATAAACTAATCTAATGGTATCTAAACTCATCTATACTAATCTAAATTCATCTACACCTATCTAAACTCATCTAAACCCATCTAAAACTCATCTAAATTTATCTAAATTCATCTAAACTTATCTAAACTCATCTAAACTCATCTACCCTCATCTAAACTCATCTAATCTCATCTAACCTAATCTAAACTCATCTAAACTCATCTAAACTTATCTAAACTCATCTAAAACTCATCTAAACTTATCTTAATTCATCTAAACTTATCTAAACTCATCTAAACTCATCTAAACTCATCTAATCTCATCTAAATTTATCTTAACTTATCTTAACTTATCTAAACTTATCTAAACTCATCTAAACTCATCTAAACTCATGTTAACTTATCTAAACTTATCTAAACTTATCTAAAGTTATCTATACTAATATAAACTAATCTAAACTCATCTAAAAACATCTAATCTCATCTAAACTCATCTAAACTAAACTAATATTATCTAAACTTATCTAAACTCATCTAAATTTATATAAACTAATGGTATCTAAACTCATCTATACTTACCTAAACTCATCTAAACCTATCTAAACGCATCTAAAATTCATCTTAACTTAACAAAACTAATCTAAACTCATCTAATCTCATCTAAACTTATTTGAACTCATCTAAACCAATCTAAACTCATCTAAACGCAACTAAACTTCTCTAAACTCATCTAAATTCATCTAACCTCATCTAAACTTATCTAAACTCATCTAAAATTATATAAACTAATCTAATGGTATCTAAACTCATCTATACTAATCTAAATTCATCTATACCTATCTAAACTCATCTAAACCCATCTAAAACTCATCTAAATTTATCTAAATTCATCTAAACTTATCTAAACTCATCTAAACTCATCTACCCTATTCTAAACTCATCTAAGCTCATCTAACCTAATCTAAACTCATCAAATCTCATCTAAATTTATCTAAACTTATCTAAACTTATCTAAACTCATCTAAACTCATCTAAACTCATCTTAACTCATCTAAACTTATCTAAACTTATCTAAAGTTATCTATACTAATATAAACTCATCTAAACTCATCTTAAAACATCTAAACTCATCTAAACTCATCTAAACTCAACTAACCTTATCTAAACTTATCTAAACTCATCTAAAATTATATAAACTAATGGTATCTAAACTCATCTATACTTACCTAAACTCATCTAAACCTATCTAAACGCATCTAAAATTCATCTTAACTTAACTAAACTAATCTAAACTCATCTAATCTCATCTAAACTTATTTGAACTCATCTAAACCAATCTAAACTCATCTAAACGCATCTAAACTTCTCTAAACTCATCTAAATTCATCTAACCTCATCTAAACTTATCTAAACTTATCGAAACTCATCTAAACTTATCTAAACTTATCTAAACTTATATAATTTAACCTAAACTTATCTAAACTCATCTAAAGTTATCTAGAATTATCTAAACTCATCTAAATTCATCTAACCTCATCTAAACTTATCTAAACTTATCGAAACTCATCTAAACTTATCTAAACTTATCTAAACTTATATAATTTAACCTAAACTTATCTAAACTCATCTAAAGTTATCTATAATTATCTAAACCCATCTAAACTCATCTAAACTTATTTAAACTTATCTAAACTCATCTAAACTCATCTAAATGCATCTAAAGTTATCTAGAATTATCAAAACTCATCTAAACTCATCTAAACTCATTTAATTTCATCTAAACTCATCTAAACTCATCTAAC